CCTAGTATGAGAGCCTGTTCTAGTACACCCCCAAAACAAAATCAAGACTTTGTAAAAGAGCGTAATAGTACCCATTTAAGACTGTTTTGGAGTCGATACATACCCTTCATAGCCATTTCAACTTGTGTGAAATTGAGTAGATATTATCAGGCCAAACATTCAAGGGGATGCACATTTTTGCCATGAACTTAAAGGGGTCATATGATGCTTTTTTTAAAGATCATTATTTTGTGTATTTGGTGTAACAGAATATGTTGATCCCCCGGTTAAGACAGCTGACTCCACTGTGATGTGACCCTCTCTCTTTCTCTCTCACACACACACACACACACACACACGATACGCAAAACTCCGCATTTGAACAGTCAATAGCAAATACTTAAACTGATAACAAAACAGTAGCTGATTCAGAAGCGCCAGATTGTCATAGCAAAGTCAGAATTACCTCCTCTCCTAGGTTCACGAAACGGTCGTCCATAAAATGCATTGCTGCTCTGTTGTAAGTAATCTTAAAGATTCCTAAATGCATCTACTTTCGGAAGGCCAAATAAAGTGCTTTTGCTTTCGTCTAGAAACACACAGCGTCTCCCTGACATGGCTGCTTCAACACTAACTGCGGTTACTGAAACCACGCCTTCTTTCTTTGCGTGAACATTTGGGCGGCATTATGCAAATATTTCCACATAGTGATGTAGATATGTGGGGGCGTGTTAGAACAAGCCGTTTTAGGGGGGCGTGGCAGAGTCTTAACTTTGATAAAGAATATCTCTTTGGTTTTGAGACTTTAGTCTTTGCAACTTCAGGGATCTTATCTATGCACAATCAGCTTGTAACACTCCAAAGAGAAAGGAAAACTTGAAATCGCATCATATGACCCCTTTAATTTCCAGTGTTAAGTGTAATGATATGGAAGGCAGGCCCAACAAGCACATTTACGTTGTGGCAACGTCGCTGCCACATTCCATTACTGTGGCAACATTGCTGTTTACGTGCTCGCGACGTTGTAGCAACATTGAATTGTAAGACGCGAAAGGGTTGTAGCAACGTTGTTGCGCGCATTCAGCAACAACGTTCCAACCACATTTATTTTTATGCCAGATTATAAATATAACCTCTGCTTATAATATTCTCTGCGTCTTATTCATTTATTTTTGTAGTGAATCTCTTAATAATCACACACAAGATAAATATGTAGTAATACTTTTTCAAATACTGTTAATCATTCATTGTTAGGGATGTAACAATTAACTGCGAGCCAGTTGAAAATCGATTCAAATATGTGACGATTCAAATCGGTTGAGATGCTAAACAAATCGCGAATCATTTAGGGGTAGGAGTTTATATGAATGCATGTCAGAGGGGAACTTACTGTCTTTAGAAAAGTTTAGATGGTATTTTTTTCTTTTCTTCTTGCCTCTGTATAATGCATATTAAAGTTCATAAGTGCAGCGCTGCTTTGTTTACAGCGGAAACCAAAGAAACGCATTAAGCGCCACCTACTGGCAGAGAGTGAATCTGTGTCTCGTTCAGCTCGTCTGCTGTTTCTGTTTCATGCAGATATTTTTTATGTATAGTTTCACAAAACTGTCAAAGTCAAACCATTCTGTTTTTGCTTCAAATTTTGAAATTATACAATTTAATTTAGATTAAAAACTGCTCATGTTGCATGCATGCAGCATCTTTGTTTGGATCATGATTAAAATGCAGTGGTTGCCTCTAATTTTAAATGGAAAGAGCACAGACAAAGCCTTAGTTTGTTTATATGAAGAGATTTATTTTGTGTTACTTATTTTTTTGATTTGGGACTTGTTTTTAAATTTCAATTTCGTTTTGTTATTTATATTTACATTATATTTAAATGTTGTAATTTAGCAGACACTTTTGTCCAAAGCGACTTACAAATGAGGACAATAGAAGCAATCAAAACCAACAAAAGAGCAATAATATGCAAGTGCTATATTAGTATATTATTATAGAGTTAAATTTCAATTTCACAAAGAAATGTGCAGCATTTTGTCCAAGCAATAATAAAAGGATACATTTAATTTATAATTTGTCTTAAATCTCATTTTGTAAAAAATAAAATAAAATTGTGAACTCAAAATCGTGAATCGAATTGTGAGTTGAGTGAATCGTTACATCCCTATTCATTGTTCTTTTTAATGTAAAACCTGCTATGAAGCTTTAAAGAGGAAAAATGTTCATATAATCCAACTTTATTAAAACATTGCATACACATAATTACACTACCAAAACATACATTTTGGGGGGGGGGGGGGGAACGCACGTTAATATAGTTATATTTAGCTCAAATATAATAGACTACAAATAAATATTAAAAAGGCATTTGAGAACATTTGCTGAACAAAAGAAAAGCAGCTGAGACAATCAGTAGGTCACCGGCCGATGAGGCGGACTCGGGACTGGAGAGCACGGCAGACAGTGGAGCGCAGATGAGAAAGTCGGTAGACATCAACAGTCCAATAAAGATAAACAAATCCAGAGGGAAAAGGCAAGCGCAGAAACCAGTTGGCAGGCACAAGTCAAAACCAGGCAGACAGTCCGGGGACAGAGAATGATGTGCAGCAGGCAGGTAAAACTGGGCAGAGAACAAGACCGAGCAAAATCAAATAGCAAGCCACCAATATAGGAGGACACAAAACAAAGCACACTATAGCAGAGAAATGAAAGGAAAGAAGAAACATAGCCGCCAGATATGAAAGAAAAAGATAGTGAGAAAAGTGTAAGGTGACATGAGCCAGGTTTGAGCTCCAGTCATATGTACAGATATGCTAGGCTGCTTGTATTACCCATAAGGCTGAGTCTCTGAATACTTACTTAAAATTATGAGAAGAGGTCCAATGAACCATCTTGTAAATGTGGGGCAACTGATCTCTGTAAAATTAAATGTCAAACTTAGTGTCATGTCAATATCAGCTGTACAGAACATTAAAGCAATATTAAAAATCTCACACTTGGTTTTTAGTTTGGATTAATTTAGTGTGTATTAAAAACATTGATTTGCACTTAACTGTAGCCTTGAGACTTTGAGGGAAGAAGAAAAAAAAAGTACTTAACCAGGGCTGGACAATAATAAATAAAATACCCGTCTTGGAGCATATCCTCGAAAACAGTCAGTTATATCATAATTGAAAGTAAAAAGTTGAGAAAAATCATATATGTATCAATGTATTGGACGCATGCACATCTAAAGTGACCTCACTGCTGTCAGTGTACTTAATGTTAATACAAAAAAAAAAAACACTCATTGCACTTGACTGATTAACTTTTGTAGCTTTAACAATGATTCATCTATATTTAATTTATACAGCGAAGAATATGCAATGTTATTACATTTGATTATTCAATTTCTGTACCTGATCACCTACAAACCTAAAGCAGTTTAATAGTATCTTTTTTTTCAATTAATTTTTTGTGCTATTGTTTGTAATTTGTTCATTTGTTTCCTTCATATTTACCTTATATTTAACTAGTATCAACATTTTTGCCATATACGTTTATTTATGAGAATACAAGATAGCAAGGATCAAAAACAATAAAAACAGCTATTTTATTTTTGTGACAGGGCCAGTGAAAATGTTGGCTGGGCAAGAAAAAAGTATAATATATTATACATACATATTGTCAATCATATAATACATTGTTGAAATACTCACATTAGCCTTTCTCCTAACCAGACCTGGTGCATGTTTAAGGGTCTCTGCAATCTGGCTTTCAGCATCCATGCTAGTAGACCCAGGTTGTGATTTCATTATTGCCCCTAAATGGTTTAAGTAAAGTTTTTAGAGATGAACAAGTATACTTTACATTTGAACAAACGGGTATTCATCCCATTTGTATTGTCAATCATATAGAATTCTGTCACTATATTGCAATGCCTCTTGATATTAAATCTAAGATAATAGAAAATACAATAAAATAAATGCAAATACTGTTGATTTTTTAATACGTATTACAACTCGATAAACAGAGTTCTTCAAGTCTCCTCTTCCCCTTCTTTCCTTTGAGGCTAAACTGACCAGACGTCTGAGGAAGTGATTTTTCTCATGACTCGCCGCACTGTCTCTCCATAGTTTGGTCCTCCAATTGTAGAAAGGTATTTAACCTGAACTTAATTGAAACAGAATTGTCAAATCCTATGCATTCACACAGAACAGTTCAGCTGCAAATAAGAATGTCAAATTCTAAACCGTTTTTCTTTGGAGCTCTTCGTCCACCCTCAGCTTATCCTCAAAGGAGAGCAAGTCGGGTAACTGACCAATAGATGGGATAGGGTTCTCTGGCCCTGTGTCTTCCTCTCTTGTCTGCAGTAGCCGCCGAAGCAAGAGAGAATGCTCTTCCTGTTTTGCAATTATTTTATCTAGTTTCATGAGGACATTTAACTGGAAATCTGTAATATAATATCAGTTTGTAAGAACTTCTGTTGGTTTGATATTTTATATATTAAAAAAATTATACAAAAAGGTTTATATAAAATATAAAACCTCTTATAAATATTATGGCGTTATTAATATTACTTACTGTTATTTGATGTACGATTTTGCCCATTTGAATTGAAGTCATCTGAAAACCAAGCAAGTAAAAAAACAAACAAAAAAAAACATACAGTACACATACAAAGAATATTTACTTAAAGGGATACTCCACTCAAAAATGAAAAAAGACTCATGACTTAGTTTTTTCTAATGAACAGAAATGCTTCAAAAACAAACATGATGGTTATCTATATGACCCCAGTTGATGAATCATTGTGTCCTGAAGCAAAACACTTGCAATAAGTAGCGGTCCTGTATGCTGTTTAAAATAATATTTTTCTCACATATGCCTATCAGTTTGCTTCAGAACACACTGGGGTCATATGGATTAACGTTGTGTTTGTTTAGTGTGTTTTTTCACAAATCAACTTTGGCGTCCTATTTATTTGCTTTATATAGACTCACAGAGGTCGATTATTTTTCTAAAAATCTCAGTTTGTGTTCCACAGAAGGGAGAAATAAAGTCATATATGCAACCCCAAATCAGAAAAAGTTGGGATGTGTTTTAAAATGCCATGAAATTGAGAATCTGTGGTTTGTTAATTCTCTTTGTCTTTTATTTAATAAAAGTAAACATGACAGAATATAGAATATCCTAATTAAACTGTTTTGAAACAGTTCACAGTCAGGTCGTTTGGTAATAGGTGAGGGTATCATGTTTGGGTATAAAAGGAGCATCTTAGTCTTTGCAAGCAAAGCTGGATCATGGCTTATCACAAATTTCTAAATTTGTTTATATTTACAAAATACAATTAATCTGGTCAGTAAACACATTGTAAATCTTTTCTTTGTACTTGCAGGAATTCTGCAGCAAGACCTTTTAACTAAACTAAACAGATTTTAATTTTCACAGACTTGATTTTAAATGTTATTGCATTTTACAAAACGTCCCCATTTCAGATTGGATTTGTACATCTGGGATGGTAACGTTGTGTTTGTTTAGTGTGTTTTTTCACAAATCAACTTTGCCGTCCTATTACTTGCTTTATTTAGACTCACAGAGTTTGATTATTTTTCTAAAAATCTCAGTTTGTGTTCCACAGAAGGGAGAAATAAAGTCATATATGCAACCCCAAATCAGAAAAAGTTGGGATGTGTTTTAAAATGCCATGAAATTGAGAATCTGTGGTTTGTTAATTCTCTTTGTCTTTTATTTAATTTACAAAAGTACAATGAAAAGACTTACACTGCTTTCACTGACCAACTTAAATGCATTTAGTAAAAACAAAGACATTTTAATTTTGATGGCTGCAATACACTTCAAAAAAGTTGAGAAAGAGGCAAAATAAACGTGATAGAATATCATAATTAAACTGTTTTGAAACAGTTCACAGGCAGGTCATTTGGTAATAGGTGAGGGTATCGTGTTTGGGTATAAAAGTAGAATCTTAGTCTTTGCAAGCAAAGCTGGATCATGGCTTATCACAAATGTCAAAATGGGTTTACATTTACAAAATACAATTCATTTGGTCAGTAAACACATTGTAAATCTTTTCTTTGTACTTTTATAAGGAATTCTGCGGCAAGATCTTTGAACTAAACTAAACCGATTTTAATTTTCACAGACTTGATTTTGATTTTATTGCATTTTACAAAATGTCCCCATTTCAGATTGGATTTGTACATCTGGGATGGCATGAGGTTGAGTAAATAATGAGAAAATTAAAATATTTGGATGGAGTACCCAATTTGACATTACTTACAATTTTGTCTTTGAGTATCTGTCTAGCTTCCATTGTCACTGGCTGTCCAGGCTGATTCTAGGCAACAAATGTAAAATTTGTAAGCAAAACTTGATAAACATGAATACATTAAAAAAATTATCAGGCCTCACAATAGCACTTCATAAATTTTGAAGTTTTCAAAATGGGCTTGAAGCCACTAGTGCTCTATCATGATCAATTTTTGCATCAAAGATAAAAAAGTAACATACTATGTTGGTGTTGATCCGCATTTGAATTATGTTCATGACTCCATTCTTGCATTCTTCGTGCTACAAAAGATACATTATTGTGATTCTCTCTTATAAACATTTAACTTATATTTGCATATGTAAGTACATTTCTTTTAAGTTTGATAAGACAAATGCTGCTTTCATACAGTAAACACGGTAACTGCTGTAAAATTGCCAGATTGGCATTTCCAGTAATTGTACCATATCTGCTGTTCACACAAGAAACACATTTTCTTTCCTTCTTTTTACCATTTTACAATTTTCAATAAAATATAAATAAATAAATAACAGAATGAAAGAAAGAAAGGCGTGGGAAAACATTACCTAAATGTTGTGGCATCATTGACTGAGTGCTATATGTATGTACAGCTGATCTGTAGCCCCCTGGCATCTCTGGATCAATGACATATTAATAAATTACATCAGCAATTAAATACTGATCAATTTTGTGATGTTTATCATTATCATCAGTTATGTCCATCAGAAGGTTTGACTGATTCAAAACGGACTTTTAAATTTGTTCACACAAGCATCAAAACAGTAATTAAAGGGGTCATATGATGCTATTTAAATTTTTCCTTTCTCTTTGGAGTGTTACAAGCTCTTGGTGCATAAAGAAGATCTGTAAAGTTGCAAAGACTAAAGTCTCAAATCCAAAGAGATATTCTTTATAAAATTTAAGACTTGTCCACGCCTACATAAAATGGCTTGTTTAAACACGCCCCCCCACATATCTACGTCAGTGTGTGGGAAGATTTGCATAACGCCGCCCAAATGTTCACACAAAGAAAGAAGGCGTAACTTTTATTCTCGCTGTAGTATTATTGTTGCCACCTCTGCCATGTCGTGAAGATGCTGTGTGTTTCGTTGTGAAAGCGAAACTACTTTGTTTGGTCTTCCAAAAGAGGACGATATCTGCTTCGTCATGCCTAGAGCTGATCCGTGCTGGTCGCTGAGGAAATACATCAACTTCGCGCTGTGGATCGCCGGATCGGCTTTCACCGTGGACGAAGCGGAGTCCAGCCTGGGGTCGTCACATGTGGTTGCCACAAGCCCACCGGACGCTCCTTCGTCGAATTCACCGGCCGTGCCGTTCTCAAGCCCGCGGCCTCCGCTCACTCTAGCCGCCGGCCTCCGCTCACTCAAGCCCGCCGTGTGTGACGCTGAGTGACGCATTTTATGGAAGACTGTTTCCTGAACTGGCAGAGTAGCATACAATGGGTCTGTGCTCAAAGGCTGTTCTATAAAGTGGGGCAGTTCCAACTTTGCAAGGACAGTCTGGCGCTTCTGACTCACAGCCTGTAAGTAAATTTTTTATATTTAAAGAATTTGCCACTGATGATTCAAACGCGAGTAGCACTTGTTATTTGTAGTTTCTCCGATCACAAATGCAGACGTGGTTTTATGTTTACGTGGCGCGATACGCAACGCAACGCGTAAAAGCACAGTATCAGTCATTATAATCAGTAATTATGTCCCCACTGGATGCAACAAATGCCTTGTTTGTAATGGGTTTTATTGGTTTTGTCTCGCCGTGCCGGGAGATGGCATCACACAGTGTGTTAAGGAGCGTAACATTTCCGTCACACGCTTGAGGTATTCAGCCAATCACAACGCACTGGATAGCTGGCCAATCAGCGTACACCTCGCTTTTCAGAACAATGAGCTTTGTAAAAATCGACGCGTTTCAGAAAGGCGGGGCATAGAGGAGAAACAATAATGAACATTCTGTGGAAAATAATGTGTTTTTTAACCTGAAACCAGATAAACACATTGGATTACACCAAATACACAACAATGCTCTTTTTAGCAACGTCATATTATAATAACTTCTTATTCTGGACAAAAAGATCCTCTACACATGTTATCAAAATGGTAAAACGCTCAACAATTTCCAGAAAAATTGATGTGCCATAACCCTATGTCCTTCACTCTGGACATCCCAGTTTGGTGTATTGCAGAAATCTAAAAAGGAATATTTCATTTGTGTTAGTACAACTACATGTTTAATGAATATTCTGTACTGGCTATCAGATACAGCTTTTACATGGCTAGTAGATGGCATTCAGATTATGCCTTTGTAGTGGAAATTGTATGCCATTCAAACTAATAAACAAACAAACAATACCTAAATGTTGTGGCCTCATTGAATGGGTGCTGTTGGTATGGATAGCTGCTCTGTAGCCTGGCATGTTTGGATCATTGAGATATTAATAAATTACAGGGCTGCAATCATTTTTGATATATGGTGTATTGTGTAAAACTGCTTATCTTAATTATTATTTATACTTACCACAAAATCCAGCTCTTGGCAAGCTGTCAAGGCCCCCACATGTCTGTGATGGCTCAGGTGCTAAAAAAAAGAAAAGAAAGATTCATATCATTGTAATAATACCTTTGTTATAAACAAATGACAACAATATTAATTGTTTACTGTAAAAAAAACAAAACAATGGTTTACAAATTAAAAAATAAAATGTTCTTGTACTTTTGGATGAGTTCCTTCTTGGTTCCATTGTTCTCGGTGGAGAGGGAAGGGTTGGTATTTTTGCTGGTGGCCTGGTGTCGATATTACCTAAAACAATTGTATTAAATTTAAGTTTTTATCATTTAATTACTTTATAAACCAAACAAGAAATGTGAATTCATATACATACTGTCTTCAATATCTGTGATATCACTATCTGACTCTAAAAGGTGTAAAGGTGGTCTCTTCAGCCTGGTTGGCCTTTTCTCAGTGATGGAGGCGTCTGAGAGTTCAGGACACGAGGTGATTTGAGCTTTTCTCATGAGCTTTTGGGCTGTCATGTAGTCAACTAAAGAAAAAAATAATTTTTTGAGTTGGCATGAAAGGTACAACAATGTATCCAAGTATCCACCTTATTTTACCCATAAGAGCTGTCGTGGCCATTTGTAAATTTAATGTGTCTGGCTTCTGGTCTCATCGAAACCAGATAAACACATTGGATTACACCAAATACACAACAATGCTCTTTTTAGCAACGTCATATTATAATAACTTCTTATTCTGGACAAAAAGATCCTCTACACATGTTATCAAAATGGTAAAACGCTCAACAATTTCCAGAAAAATTGATGTGCCATAACCCTATGTCCTTCACTCTGGACATCCCAGTTTGGTGTATTGCAGAAATCTAAAAAGGAATATTTCATTTGTGTTAGTACAACTACATGTTTAATGAATATTCTGTACTGGCTATCAGATACAGCTTTTACATGGCTAGTAGATGGCATTCAGATTATGCCTTTGTAGTGGAAATTGTATGCCATTCAAACTAATAAACAAACAAACAATACCTAAATGTTGTGGCCTCATTGAATGGGTGCTGTTGGTATGGATAGCTGCTCTGTAGCCTGGCATGTTTGGATCATTGAGATATTAATAAATTACAGGGCTGCAATCATTTTTGATATATGGTGTATTGTGTAAAACTGCTTATCTTCTTTATTATTTATACTTGCCACAAAATCCAGCTCTTGGCAAGCTGTCAAGGCCCCCACATGTCTGTGATGGCTCAGGTGCTAAAAAAAAGAAAAGAAAGATTCATATCATTGTAATAATACTGTTGTTATAAACCAATGACAACAATATTAATTGTTTATTGTAAAAAAAAAAAGTATTTTGGTGTGGCCCAATGCTTTACAAATTAAAAAATAAAATTTTCTTTTACTTTCGGATGAGTTCCTTCTTCTCGGTGGAGAGGGCAGGGTTGGTATTTTTGTTGGTGGCCTGGTGTTGATATTACCTAAAACTATTTTATTAAATTTAAGTTTTTATCATTTAATTACTTTATAAACCAAACAAGAAATGTGAATTCATATACATACTGTCTTCAATATCTGTGATATCACTATCTGACTCTAAAAGGTGTAAAGGTGGTCTCTTCAGCCTGGTTGGCCTTTTCTCAGTGATGGAGGCGTCTGAGAGTTCAGGACACGAGGTGATTTGAGCTTTTCTCATGAGCTTATGGGCTGTCATGTAGTCAACTAAAGAAAAAATACTTTTTTAGATGGCATGAAAGGTACAACAATGTATCATAAAGTATCCACCTTATTTTACCCATAAGAGCTGTCGTGGCTATTTGTAAATTTAATGTGTCTGGCTTCTGGTCTCATCCGCTTCCAGCTGATTTTTATCTGTACAAATCAACTTGCGTCGCTACATAATATTGCAAACTTGCGTTTCTTACCATATTATTTTAAATGTACTGACTTAATTATAAATACACTGGTTTGTAGCACAAACAGTTTGATCGTTTACTGTACTTTGATATTCTTCTCAATATTTCTCTACAGTGGCTAATGAATCGGAAATTGTGCACATTCACAGAAAACGGCTTACTTGCGCACTGAACAATAAGGTGGATATTGAAGTACAAACCAGAATTCCAAAAAAGACAGTGTGTAAAATGTAAAAACAGTACAGCCTGAAAAATAAGCAACAGATTAAATCCATTACCTCAAAAGTCAAAATCTGGGTAATATTTTACATACCTGTGGATTTAAAAACTCTGTGGACTTGTAGTCTGTTCCTTTTTTTTAATAGACTTTGGACATTGTTGGGTGGCTAGTAGCAATAGATGTCCTAAGGAAAAAATAGTATAAATATAAATTTTTTAAAAATCATTTGAGTATTAGATTTTTCAACAATTTTTTTTTAAAGATTTACCTCTTTTATTTACATATTTTGTTTTGGTGTGCAAAATAGGAAGGGTCAGATTATATTTGCATACATTCATTTTGACATTAATTTGGCAATACATTTCTTAAAATTTCCTTTGGTACAATTTTCACAAGTTTACTATGTACATTTTAAAAAAACAATTAGTAAAAACACCAAACAGATCACTTTTGCAACACCACTGGTCATTCTTTCAAAACCTGATTTCATACTTTAATTCCAGTTGAACTTTACATATTTCTTTACACATAATCATTGTTTGAAAGCACAAGAAGACTGTAATATCAAATTAGATAATTTGGCCACCAAAACACATTATTATTTCCTTTTAATTTAGTACTTTTAACAATCAGTTAATTTAATTAGCAGACAATGCAAGATGCATGTTTTGAATCACCCTTGTTACTGAAATAAAGATGTTACAGAAATTCAGGCTACAGTTGCCTTATTTCAAAATATTTTACATAACTTGCAAAATCAACATAAAATCCATGATTTTTGTAATAATCTAGTGACTAAGTTAGGTAATATAAGTGCATTTTCTAATGTGGCAACTGTATTGCTGAAACAATTAAAAAACGTAAACCAGTGAGATTTATGTAGCAAATATGCATACGTCTAGGTCTATACGTCTTACCTGGTCTAATTTGTTTTTCTCCATGCATCAGGAATTACAGCTAGACTGTGATCTGAGGTGAATTCCACAACTGAAAACATTCTGAAAGACAAGGTATATGACTATTAAAATAAAAATAAAAAATCAGTTGTACATTAAGGCTGCATATAATCGCTATAATAAGAACACGTTATGATTATGAAAATACCAGAGACCGCTTGAAGAACTAAGACAAATCATATATGGTTATAATCATGTATTTATTTGGTTTAATATTGCTGCCTCCTCCATGTCTCTTTGTTTATACCTGACTTCTGCATCCGCATGTCATAAATTTCATATACTCTGTGTAATTCATATAACTCGTATAACAGTACAGTGCGATGGGATAGCAAGCAGTCAAACCTCCTCAGATTACATGCATCGTGGAAAATTAATATTAATGCTCATTCTTTCTAAAGAAATTTGACAGAAACACACAAGGGTTTGTCAGTATTTTTCTGTAGTGTTATACGAGTTGTTTTGTGCATTCCTGTCGTCACAAATAAACTGAGCAGCTGCGACTGAACAAGTAGGCCTATGTGTGTTCTCTTTTAATGTGAAATTATGATAAATAGTTTGATTTAGCATGCTTTAGCATAATTTTTTATCGTAAATCATATAAAATATCTATGCTGAAGTCTTAAGTCTTTATGTAAGGAACAAACTTTAGGTTTGTTTTACGATTTAGTTTTCATTAATTTTCCCCTCGCTAGTGAAATGCTGGGGTTGTGTGACGTTTGCTTCAGAGTCGGGTTAAGGGAGGGTTTTACAGTAGCGCTGGCCTGACAGTGGAAACGCGGCTTGATTTTGGGCTCGCGGCTTGAGGTGCGAGTCTATTGGCCCAGCACGGCTCGGTGTTAGCCCTGGCAACACACTGGCCCGACAATGGAAAAGCAGTTAATGGGACCCAATGGGTTGAAGGTCCAAATTGCAGTTTCAATGCAGCTTCAAATGGCTCTACACAATCCCAGCCGAGGAATAAGAGTCTTATCTAGTGAAACAATTGTTAATTTTCTTAAAAAAAAAAAAAAAAAATGTATATACTTTTTAACCACAAACGCTAGTCTTGCACTAGTTCAACTTGACCCATTACGTAGTCACGTTGGAAAGGTCACACGTGAAGGAGGAAGTACTGTTCCAGTGTTTGCAAAGAACGTCAAATGCCCTTTACAAAAAAAAAAAGGTATAATGTAGAGTTTTTCGCCCTACCCTACCTTTTTGAACCGGAGTACACAAAGTCAAAGAGCTAACCAAGCGTGACCTTTCCAACGTGATAACATCATGCGTCAAGTCGCAGACGCGCATCGCGGAGCGCATTTGTGGTTAAAAAGTATATAAATTGTAATTGTTTTTTGAAAATGACAGATTGTTTCGCTAGATAAGACCCTTATCGGCTGTGATCGTGTAGAGCCCTTTGAAGCTGCACTGAAACTGCAATTTGACCTTCAACCCGTTGTCACAATTTAAGTCCAGAAAGACATGAACACCTTTGATGACATGGGGGGTGAGTAAATTATCAGAATTTTTATTCTGGAAGTGAACTAATCCTTTAAAGTCGGCATGAAATCAAAATTGACAATTCTTATTTTTTGATGGAATACAGTAGTGTTTATTATAAATAATTTATCGGTGCACTTCATTTTTTTTTTTTTTTTCGTTCATGTGCCCTCGTAATCTTTAATCAAAAATGTTAACCTCCCCTCCCCCTCAAAACGACTCCTCTACTCTTCCGGTCACGAGCTATGGAACTGCCAACAGCTGCAGTGACATCAGTGACGTTTGGGGGGGGGGGGGGGGGAAGCTGATGCTTCACTTTATAGCACTGACACCAGTCATGAGGGAGTACGTTACCCTTAAACATTGAAAATATATTAGGATATTACGACAACATTACTCTTAGGACATCGCAAACTCATTTTTTTTTTCATAAATATGACTTAACCTGACGGAGGACGTGCTCAGTTTCTCTCTCTCGCATGTTTTGTGCCGTTGATCGTCGTTGTCATCCTTAATAAATAAAACATTTATTCATGCTTGGGTGTCGGCAGTGAATCCAGTGGAGAGAAAACCCCCACCACTAACTGCAAACTGGCATCTTAGATCTGCCTCCATTTTGTTAGCAACGCCCCAACTTCCAACGATCCAATTAATTCCTGAAGGCCGAAATCAAGTCCCGCCCTCTCATTTCAGACTTTAAGCCATTCTGCAAGGCAGCTCCAGACACACATAAGTTGTGTCCCAAATGACGCACTGTACACTATGCACTTATACACTATGTAATCTACCATGTAGTGTATGAATTATGTAAGTATATTTAGTCATTCATAATTGGAGTCTGATACCTCCTCCACCTCCACTACATAATTAAAGCTGGGACAGTTGAGTGCACGAAGTGTCCAACATTTCACACTTTGTTTTTTCCTTTATTTTTGGTTTGGTTATGTACCGTATTGACCCGAATATAAGACAATGTTTTTTTCTTGGAAATACATCTGAAAAAACGCGGTCGTCTTATATTCAGGTTCTAGACTTTGACATGTCAATAATACACCCACAACAATAGGTGGTGCCAAATACGCATAAAACGAGTGTGCTATGAAATACGTAACGTAATGCGTGTTATAAAGATCGCGAGTAAAAACAAAAGAAAAAGAAAACCTTACAGCTGCATGAGTCGTGACTGTCACGTTAGCCTGATGGGACCAAACTCTCTTTGTGATTTTAAAACGTAAGACAGTACCCAAATTTGAAGACTACAGTAAGATTTAACTTCTACTGTTAATAAGATTTTGGTAGGCTACTATTAGATGGATAGCCTAAATGTCCTAATTCAGATGGGCTACCGTTTTTTTTTTTATGGTATATCAAAAAGTGTATATTTTTTAAATGTGATTGTTGGTACATTTTACCAGTTTTTACCATACTTTCAAAACAAAAATTAAAATATGCAATATGAAAATAATTGAAGACAAAATGTGTTTTACTAAGAAAAAACAAGATTTGTTTTTTAAAAAGCCTTTTTCCAAAAGGTACATCTGGAAAAAGGGGGGTCGTCTTATAATCAGGGTCGTCTTATATTCGGGCCAGTACGGCAAGTGCACTTATTCTTTTTTAAATTCTCAGTGTGAACACATTACTAGCATTATTTATACTACAAAATGGCATAGGATAGTGTATAAATATGCAAACTGGTATGCACCTATAGATAGTGAACATGCAGTTCTTATGGAGAACAGTACATTCGTCTTAGCAGTATTTCTGCTTGTTTTGGGGGCTGTATTGTCCTGTCCTGTTTACTGTCTTCTCGTGATGTTTATTGATGTAGATCAAAATGTACAAAAATGATTTATTAATGTATTACTTTAATTTAATTTTTATTATTATTATCCCCTTTAAAAAAAAAAAAAATACTTTCACTTAATAATCTGCCAAGTGTCTTTTTTCAAAAGTATTCTGTATCATGCGTTCAGGAATTACAATAATTTAAGTGTTTGTTTTTTTTTCTCCCACATCTGCTCTTAAAAAGAGGCTTGAAAGCTAAAGGGATAAAGCATAAAATACATGAATGGGGACGGAAAAAGTGTTGACATTTTTATTGCTTCTGCTTTTATTTATTTTCTACTGATTCTTTAAAGACTATTATTTTCAGATATTGTATACTTTTCCCCGTATCTTAGACTCAATAGAACTTTATATGCATGCATACACTTAACATTAGAAAAATAAACAAACTTTTCAATATTGTTACTTGCATGGATTCTGCTTTGTTAATTCATACACTCTTTTTACGTTTTTTTTTAAAACTCTAAACCACATTTGTCACTATTTGCATTTCAATCTAATTTATATCTGGTATAACTGTTTTCTGCACCCGAACATTACAGTTTTTGCAGGCAAAATCTGACACTGTTTTATTAGTAGATAATGCTTAATAATATAAACAATATTGATTAATTTACCTAATATTTTGAAATCATTGAACATGTATTTAAATATTTCGCCAACAATTCAAATGTTTTGTTTGCATTCCTATGCGAGTTTTAAATGCAATTTCCATGTACACTTGTGATGTTATTGAACGCGACACTGAACGGGACTTTTATTTTGGTCTTGAGATGTGACGTCCTAGGGCTGCGCCACGCTCCTCCATCTGTTGTGATTCGGCTGTGGAAAGGTAAGCGTTTTAAGTTTT